CCCCTGGCTCGGGACCGGCGGTCCACGTCCCGCCGTCTGTGGGCATCCCCAAGTACCAAAGAGCCAGTACAGACCAAAGGAAAACCAGCAGCCCCAGCAGCTCCCAGCTCGGGCTCGGGGCGCCCCGTTACGGCTGCGTTCACCCCATCTATGAAATTCCCACCATGGGGCATTTTGGAGCATCCCGGGGCGGGGAGGGCGAGGGAAGGCGACTGCAGCAAGCGCCCTTCAGACCGTTTGGCTGGTGGATGCTTCACCACTCGTTGGGTGCAGGATGAGGCCAGCACCCTTCGGTGTCTCCGCAGCAGCTAAAAGCCCACCGGGGCACTCCTGCACTCGGGACACCTTAGCGAGGAGCTACCCCATCCCATTCCCTGCTCCAGGCAGGGAAAGGGGGTGCTGGGATAACAGGACGGGGTGACTGATGCTGCAGGGGACCCGCACAGAGGAGGCTGCACCCCACGGGGACGGGGGGCCCATCCCCTACACGGGGGGACACACGGCAGCTCTGTGCCGCTCCCGGCACATGCCACTGCCCCAGGGCTCAGCGCACGGGCCCCCGACGCCAGCTCACAGCCCCTAATGCATTTTTGATTTCCCAAATATGTGCCCTTCTGATCTCGGTAAGACGGATAAAGAGCCTTTAATCAGCTGCTAGGAGGAATTATGGATGGCTAATTGTGCCTGCCACCTCCATTACATCTCTGCCACCTACGGGGCTTATAACGATTTAGAAGGGCCCTTTCAGGCCTTCATTAGCTGCACACCAAAGGCTTCGGAAATAATTGGCCTCTACGATTTAGAAATTGGCCACTGGGCTGTAAAATACCAGCCACTGGGAAAGGCTCTTAATTCGGACTGGCGCTTTGACACAGCTTGCCTCTGGTTTCAAGGCTGCGGTGGAGCTGTAATCTCTCATTAGTGCTGCGATGAGAGGAGCGAGCCTCCTCATTAGCACCGACCAGGAGCAGTGGCACCAAAGCTTTCCAGGCTCCCTGACGGGAGCGCCTCAAATCAAAGGGATGCAGCTCACCTCCCACGCCGGCACAGCAGCCCCGGGCAGTTTCTCTGCTCAGTGGCTCTGGGCTCCCTCGCTTATATTTCTGCCCCCCCTTTCCCCCATTTATCTGGGTGCTCCAGCCCCTGGGCTGCAAGCTGTAACCCGAGGGTCCCTGTGGGTTGGCAGCTTTACTCACTGTTGTGTCCCCGTAACCCAAGGGTCCCTGTGGGTTGGCAGCTTTACTCACTGTTGTGTCCCCTTGGCAGGTGCCCTCCTCCCTTCTTTTTGATGGAAAAAGGGATGCCGATACATTTTCCACATTATTATCTTTGACAACAGTCAAAGGTACAAAGGTGCAAACGGACAGTCCTCGTTTTGGACAAATAAAAACACCAACTACAACTGCAATCCCTTCTGAGGTCTGGCCGTCGAGATTTTACACCTTTACTGACAGCTCTTTCGCGAGTAGTACGACTTGCAGAGCTGTTGCTCATTGGTCCTATGAGACCGACCCTGATGCCATGGGCGAGATGGACCCCTGTCGATACGGGTGCATGTTCGGAGAGGGAGGAGCAAAGGGCACCTCTGGCCCCCAGCCCCACTGGGATGGCACAAGCAGCCCAGCCTCGGGTCCATCTCCTCAGCCCCGACAAGCTTCCGCTAACGACTCTGAAGTGAAAGCTGGGTCCCTTCTCTGGCACCGCAATAGGGTGTGGCCTCTTCCAGCTCATCCTTGCCTTCGGAAGGGAAGAGGCAGGCTGGGGAAAGCCAGCTGCTCTCCAGGTTAGGGAAAATGGGTTTTCCCAATCCTTTTTGCAGGACACATGTACTGCGAAACCCTATCCATGGCCACCGTTGGAAGGTTTGCCCCAGGCTACATAGAGAAACGTTCTCTGCTGCAGTGCCCTTCCCAAGGCCCACCACCACCATCCATGATCGTAAGCCCCGACCGGGGCAGGTGCAGTCAGACCGCCCAAGGTCCCTGGCACCTTCTCCCCTCTCCAGCTGAGCCCAGGGCTGCGCGGGAGCCAGTGAGCTGCCCGAGAGCTCACCTGGGACTGTTCACTGGTGCGCACCGCTTCCCTGCGCAGGCACCGCTTCTGTTTGCCAACAGAGGCAACCACCACCTCCCTGCTCCTCCTGGGAAAAGGCACTTTTATTTGGAGCAGTGATCAAAGCAGCTGCCAGGGAAAACCTCGCAGCTTCGCTACAAAAGAGAAGCTATTTCAACGATGGCAACATTAACCGACACCGCGTCGTAAGGGCAACTTCTGCCTGCGTCCTTATTTAAGCCCGTAACAAGTCACAGGCTTTCAAGCAGGACAAACCAAAGGAGACGGTTTTTGGCTTTGTGACACACCACGCTATGCTGTTAACACGACAGTTTCTTACACAGCTCATCACTGAGCTGCCCTTCGGGAGCTCTCTCCTCATTAACTGCTTCTGCAGTTTTGAAGGTGTTCAAAACTCTGCGCTCACTCGGGACGGGCACCGTTTGTACGACTGCCCTGTTAATGCTCCAAAGGAGTCTGCACCTTGGGATGCTGCTGTTAAGGATAAAGATGTGGGGGGAAGAGGGGGAGACATGAAAATTTTCTCCACTCAACAACTTGCTCTCTCTGACTTGCAGTGGAAAGAAGAGCGATCTAGCACATTGTTTTAGCTTCATATAGATAACATATTTATTGAAAATCTGCTTCACCAACAACGGTGAAATCATGACCAAAAATTACAAAACGTCATGGTAGCTGGCTTTATAAAAATAAACTGCAGGAGTATGTCTCACCGATTCGTACTGGTTTCTCTCGCCCCCTCCCTCCTTTAACGGTGTCTGTTATACTCTTCAGCTTAATACCGTTCTAGAAAATTGCATTCCGTCCAAAAAAATGCACTTGTTTTTCCTTAGCAGAGGTCCTTAAAGTGACTTTTCCCCCCGCCCTCCCCAACAATAAATATAGAAAATAGCCTCTAAACAAATAAATTTTAGTTTGGTCAGCTTAAAAAAAAGGTCCATTTTCCCCCTCTTGGGATACGTAGTGACTAAGCAGCCACTGAAACAGTATTCAAGTCTTTGGTGGCTTCGGCTGCTTAAAGCTGCAGTTTTATGTACAGATGATCAACTGAGGTCCTTTTTTTTTTTCTCTCCAGAAACCAAAGACTATGAGATGATGTCGGGTGCGAATTACTAGTACGATCAGTGCCGCGTTCACTGCGCCTTCACTGGGAGCGATCGATCGCCCAGGAAAGCAACCGGTAAAAGGAGGTCATCTTTGGCAAGCGAGAGCTTTCACACAGAAGGCGTCTTTGGTGGATGAACCTGTTGCATAAGCTGCGGTCGTTTCACTCGTGGTTTCCGTCTCTTTGGCCTGCTCTTCGCTTTGTTGATCTGCACCACAAAGAACGCCAGAACCACCATGGCACCAAGAAAAGCAAAGACCGGAATAGTCTGTCCTACGTCCTGGTTGTACCGGCCCGGCATTATACCTAGAAAGGCAAAGAGGTTTGGAAGCGACTAATGACCGCGTGAGTTACGATGTCTTTGCAGTGTTAACGCTATCTACCAAAACGATCGATGGTAATTCTTGTTCAAAGATGAAACGGCTATTAAGCAGATTACATCTCAGACAGGAAGATTAACAACTGCAGACCGATTAGTGACAATAAGACAGGATGCTACCATTACAGAAAAGCACCAGCCTTTCCACCTTGACCTAACTGGGGACGTGAAAGTATAACCCAGATTTCCCCTGCAACAACAATCTTCTGTTCTGCGTTAGAAGAGAGATGCAAACGCTTGACCTAATTTTACCACTAAGTAATTTCTATAAATCACACCAAATCCCGATGCCACGAGGAAA